ATGGCCACAAGTTCGACTTGAAGCACGTGAAAATCCTCCGAAGAGTCACGAGCCGGCTAGCACATGAGTTTATTGAAGCCTGGTCTTCAAAGCAGAACTAGAGCAATAAGCACTTAGATCTCGAAGTCGCTTACGAAGCTCTGAGAAACAGGAGCTTAATCCCGCACCGATGATGTTGCCTAATCTGGACTCGAAAACTCTGCAAAATAATCATTCAGCTCGGAGAGCAGTACAAAATCCACATCCACATCCCGAGCTACGGATATACTCTATTATTTCATAATAACGGCTCCTGAGCATTTGTCTGGGCTAAGTACAACCACTCCCTTCGTCCTCAGCTTTCGTAGTGCACGAAGGTAACGGTTTGTAAGCAAAAACTTCTCTCGCATTGGCGTCATTGTGACCTCGTTGACAATATCAATTCCTTTGTTTCTAAACCAGTTTGTCATATCTGGACTAGACGTCTTTAATTCTGCTTAATTGTTCAAAAAAGTTTCAACCTGTTGTTCGTAAGCCTACGGGTACCCTGGTTGTAAGGGTGTCAAGCCTGCCCTCTACCCTGTTCTAACTTCTTCCGGTCTCACTCTACCTGTTGTCTTATATATTTTCTTCTTAGTGTTGGCATTGAAAAACAATACGAAATGTTGACATCTGCCAGCCTTCGTCTTTTTACGGTTTTATACAAAGAACTAAAGGGATATAATTGTTTCTAACTCAAATCCATGATAATTTATTTAGCATTGAATTCGCGAATAGAGGACCCATTTTACCATACCAATCCCATCAAACACCCACCTGCAACCCGAAATATCCACAGATCTTTTCATTTCGTTACTACAAGTCTTGGAAATGCCTCTGTGACATTTCGATTATGCTCGATCAACTTGTGGTCAGTGTGTTGCTGACCCTTGTAAAGGCACCTATTTACCTGTACCTAGCAAAATCGGGAATAAACGTTTGTTTATGCATTGATTTATTCCTGCAACAACGCAACGGTAGTCCAGTGTTTTTCGGATGTGTAACCGCCATGTAATGGATTCTATATATGACGGATTTGTGCGATGTAAAGACATCAGCCTGCTCATCTTACCTGCTGGGCTTGAATCTATCATATCCACCTATCCAAACCGAAGGCATCTGAATGCTTGACTGAGACATGGACATCTATAGTCACTTGTACATATCCCCAGTTTCGTATGTTGCATCATGTCCCCGTCTTTCACAGTCTTAGTGTTTCTGGAACAATCTACTAGTGTTGGCTAGGCAGCTTTGAAATAGACAGATTGGGGACACGAAAGTCATGGCTGCTGTTGAAAGGTAGCCCATTTCGTTTTTATACCTAATGCCTAACTACTGGTTACATTCCACGAGCTATTCAAGCGATTCACAAGCCCGCTTCTCAAAACAATCACCATGCAGTACTAATTGCTCGAATTGGCCCTTGACTTCCGTCGCAGATATGTTAACCTGTGCTAAGTTTGCACATTTGCCCCGACATGTAGTTGTTTCCTTGTTAACCGTAATGATTCGTTCACTGATACTAATTCCCACCCAATCTTTGTGTGATTTTTGTGGAAAATATGGGGCAAAGTGAGAGGCAACTAACTATGAAGAAAAGTTTGCCCCAACGATGACTGTAGGTCGGAAAACAGAGATGATGTCTTTTCCCGTTGGTAAATATAACTTATCTCAACCAATTATAAACTATACAATAAAATCAATAGACTTTTTATTCTCGGCAACGCGAGGTGCGCCTTTACATGCATGCTCATGTTATGATAATAAAATGTGGACCAAAATCTACAAAAATACATCATACTTGTAATAACGGTGAATGTGTATATGGATATGTGTGTACCTGTGCATAGGTGAAGCTTTGTGACTTGTGTTTGTAAGTGTGTCGTTGTATTTGTGACTGTTTGACAGTATCGGCTATGTAAGCATGGACGATTGATGTCCGTGGATTGGATGTAATTATCCAACTATCCACAGGGCAGTGACTTTAGATGGTGGCGAGTCACATTCGCCAAGTCACAGTGTTGATAAACGGACATTTGTGGCTTTTTGTAGGGAGAACGCTCGCTGGGCGAAAACACACCACGTCCATGAACACTGCCGCCGAACTATTTGCGGGAACGGGTTACACCCGAACCAGCCAGCTGTCACCACGAGGGGGTTGTTTGGCTAGCCAGCGGACCGGTGGACGAAGAATGCATATTTACGCTTCTACGTTCTGATGCCGTTTAATATATCCACACATCAAGCGGGTTGTGTTACCATGTGAAATGTTAGTAAGCTGTGTACCTGCCTAACCTTAAGAATACCTGCTATTCTTTGTATCGATAAACATTTGGCCTTCTTTACCAGCCTACATTAAATAAAGTGTTGCGTTGAGTCTCAAATATCCCCGGACTCGGCTGATCTTACGGAGGCTCCCAGTTGGTGTTAACCGTTTTGGATTGTCATATCGTAAGGACCCGAAGTGCAAGCTGATCTATTTCTTGTGTTAAACAGTGCTAATACTAGGTGTATCCGTTCCGACAACGGAGACATCCACTCATTTTCGGCATCCCTGTTGGAGGTAGCATGGCGCTGGTTTCCTTCTCTGTCTAGGGGTCGTGTGGTGTACATTGCTCGTGCGCACATACAACTGCGGTTCTAAAGTGTTCTTCTCCTTTGGGGGAGTCCTTACAGCCAGCTGTTGACTGGTTGCCGTCTCGCATCCTGGCATTCCCATGTTACTAAAAACTGGTGCAGAAATATCTGCCTTTAGTCCATCACAATGCAATTAGAAAACGTGTGGATACAAAACCTATCCTTTGTGAGACTTTAATGAGTAGCACGAAGGTAGGTTTGAGAAAATCCCACCAACTCACAGACGCGGAAAGATAGTGTTGGGTGCGTCTTGATTACTAGTCGGCAGTGAAGACAAGTAAGAGACGTGCCAAATACGGAACGGTAGAGAAAATAGAGGCAGCTGGATTCAACTTGCAATGCCAGGCTACAATGTAAAGTGATCAAATCAGTAAGAGCGAAGCGAGTGACTCATCGGGCAGAAAATGTCTAGCAAATATGCCATTAATAAAGCAAATGATCTGTCATAATGGGTAAAGACCAATATAATCCAATGTTGCGAAATACAGAGCGTAGAAGTTTCGGGTTCACAACAGTAACCCGCGAGAAATTACCATCATCTCAGATGGTTCCTGGTAAATTGCCTACCAGTTTCCTAAGTTTTGCTGCTTTGGGAAGACTGATTCATCAGTTTGGAAATGTTATAATTTGGTATCCATTACCTCTATTGCTTGATAGTGCTATTAGTAGCAACATACCGGTTCCATTTTGCTTTCTGTCACTAACATCAACAATCCTGGACGCATGTTTCTAACGGAGTGGTATGACCTGGGAGGTATGACGATAAACCTGCGCTAGGTTGGACGGCTCTCAGATAATTTCACAATGAGCCCATGTAGAACAAATCTTACGGTTTCTCCACGAAGTGCGTTGACAATGGGATGTCACAGAATTATTCTACAACTGCTAGTAAAGTTGCGGGATTTATTTACGTTCGGTCTGTCCACGGCTGTTTGGATGATTCGACAACACTCATGGCACTGCGTAAACACACTGTACCCGTCGGTCACGCTCGAACTTTACCGCTTAAAACGTACTAGCGTATTCAACTTGATACTTCAGTATCGCCTTATACCCTGTGATCCACCTAACAGTACGGTTGGTCATACGTTCAGATAGATGTGGAAACAATCGGTTGATATAGTTGTTTGGTAATGTTTAGCTCTTGACACAAGAGCTTCGTCAGACCAAGTGAATCAATGTGTAACTGGTGTGGCATTTTATGGCGAACAGGGGCGAGAACCGTGACATCCATGATTTCTCGATCGGTTCCAAGTATCTTCTAGGATATTGCGTACCTTTGGTCCCTAAACTCCAACGGTTTGTCTTGTTGTTGTTTTGTCTTACGGAAACAAATCTTGAGCTTTCCCTAATCTACTCAACAAATCTTTAGTACAATAGCACTAGCTTTTGCTTAATTGCTTGATGATTGCTTGATGATCATTCATTATTGCACTTGATAACTGTACATGAGCATTGTGAGCATTGTCCAGCTAATCTACGCAATGGTGGAAGCAAAACTGTGTTGACCGCCGTGTTGGCACACTTGGTTGATTCTAATCACCAACTCGACACCTGCCAATCTTTCCAACCCATTTACCGTGTACCTGGACGCCTTTCACGAGCGCTAAAATGTAGCTTACTAGCAGCAGCTGAGGCAATTGCTATCCACCACCAGAACTCAGACTTATGTGCTCAGAAACTATACATGAGTAAGAAGTTCCGTTTCTGTTAAATGAAAATCAGGAGCTGAACTTTGTTATCCCAGGTAATCAATCCATCAGAATAGAGAATGCTTCCTTTGCACAGAACGTGGTACAGACTGAAGGAAATCCAATCGTTCCTTTGTTTCGGAAATACACTGGGGAACAATGCATTTATCACAGATACAAAGGCAAACGCCTAGCAATTGCCCTAGGTAAAGACAGAGAAAATGTGGATGTACCGAGGAAAGATAGTGCGAAACGGTGGACACACTGCACTTTTCACCTGCGCGCACACATACACACACTTTGATTGCGTTGTCCCGTGACCCACAAACTTGAGTTAGATCATGTAAGCATGCAGGTGGTGTAAGACATCCTCAAATGGAAATCAGCCAACGTAGGAGTGGTGATGACGGAATGCGGAAGTGTGTTCCATTGTAGTTACCTACAGCTATCCGTGAGAGAAAGAACCGCCGTAGAGCATCTGTCGCTTACATGCACCTAGAAAGAGATTCCATTGCAGTCTAATATCATTGACAGTGATGTAGCATCCATTGTGTTTACGTCCCTGTAGCACTTTCTGATTGACATCAAACGTCGAATAATGCAGTCCGATTTAATTTCCCATCAAAATTACCCGATACAATTTTCTTCAGAAATCAGCTGATAACTAGGTTTGTATTTAACTTGAAGGCACTTTTAATGTGAGTTCTCTTGAGTTGACAGGGGGAAGTAAAGATTTGTTAAACAAATTTTATCAGTTATTCTCTGTGGTGAGCAACGGAATGCTTATAGTAGAGTATTATTCCGCGACCCTCCACATAATGAACGCTAGTCCATCATGAGCAAATTGGAAAGACGTCCCGGGTAAATGTGTGTAGGTGATAGCATAGCTCCCGTCAACAATGGACACTTGCCAAGAGTGACCGTACATGCTGTCGAGATAACCTTTGAGGTCCTCTGATAGCTTCTTTATTTCATCTTTACTATTGAGTTCACTTGCCCAACGCAGAGCCTCTGTGGAGATTCTGACTTGTTGTTCAATTGGCATGTCAGCCTGTATCACTCTTATTCTGCGATCCAGAGCCGGAGCTGCATTGACTCTATGCGTTTCTTCTCGTTGGATTCTGAAGGAGAGAGTAGATACCATGAAAATGACATAAAGTTTTCTGATTTGGAATGTATGCCGATTCGCCACACTTACAGGTGAACTGGAGAGGATTTTCGCTGAAGCGTTGAGAACAACTGACGTAACATAGATAAACCGATTGGTTACTAGGTTTGAGCTGTAGAGAACATATATAGTATGTCGCAGTTACCCAACTAAGCGCAGCTGTAAGCTGTCAGGCGCGCCCCCAGATTGCGGATTGGGGATTGCCTTCTGCGTGGAGGTAACTGCGAAGAAGTCTCGTTTGTCTTGCAGGCGAGATGAACGAGCAGTCGCGGACAATCAGCGGCAGTGTCTCACAGCGTGGGGAGTTCTGGGCTGGTCACCTGGTTCTGCATCAAATACCACAAGACCTCCTACGGCGCTGTGTCAAAGCTAATGTGACCGGCTGTAGGGTCACTGATCACTCACGTCTGTAACCAGAGGTGAGTATATAACTGAGAGCGGATGAACAACGTTGCTGGCCACCGGCTTCTCTGTGGACTGCTACTGAACACAAAGAAGGCGAAAAAGCCACCCGAATGTTAACGATCTATGTTACTCGCTCCTCTGCTTTGTGGATAGGTTTTAAGACCAAAGGTTCAGGGTTGGGTCCCTTAAATCAACCCTTTTCCTCGGCTTGGGCAACCAGGAAGAACTCTGCCCGCACAACAGATTAACCTCGTAAATTTTCCAAATCCTTTCACTGACTACCCGTTTTCCCTTATTTTTGTTAACTGTGTGTTGTGGCACTGCCAATTCTACATTGGTCAAGTGTTAAATAATATAATTTATATTAAACATTTGCGTCTTACTGGTCGGTTTCGCCCTTTACTGCTGCAATGTCATGGAGTGAACCCCCAGTGTTAGTTAACGACAAAACCGAGAGGATATCGAATAATCTATCCAGATTGCATTAGGCAGAAAACGGTTTTGCAGTATGAACTCCATTCACTCAGTCACTTGCGTCGCAATAGGATGGAAGTGAAACAGCTTTCCATGCATAATGCAAGAAGTGAAGTGGCGATACATGGAAGGTGGGTTTCTGGACAGACTCCGTTTTATCCATAACGCTCTGATCTTGAATAGATGAGGTAGACAAATGAACCGGACGATGATATCTAACAAAACCAAGGGAACGCACCAGGAAACTAATTTAAGCTCGTTTTGCGTCAAAACTGATTGTAAACCAACGGATCGAAAACGGAATACTGTAATCATAGTTAGCTTGACGTGTGTACTTGATGTTACTCGAGATGAGCAGCATGTGTTGGACGCACCATGCTGTGTCATTTCCGGATGTTCGAGAACGCTGCTCTCCATAAGCAACAATGATGTGAAGGTGGTGGAGAATTCAATCGACCAGCGCAACATAAATAAAGCATTTTTGGCTAAGCAACGTAAACCTGGACCCCACACATGAACGGCCAGATGTACCATATTGGTGACGGTAATGTGTTCGTCATTTGCCACAAAATGGTATGTAATGAAAATACTTTATGCGTGGAAGAATTTAAATTGTAATTCTAATGTATTCGTCACAACAGTTCATTTGCGGCATGTAGTAACCTGCGTGGCATTAGTACATAGGCCGTGCTATGTCCCAGTTAGCTTGCAAAGCATGTAGTCAATCTGCCGTCCTCCGTGGCTCAGTGCCTTAAGCTGTTGGCTAGTTGGCGTCAGCTTTTAGCGATCATGGGTTCGATCCCCATTAGAGAACCGAGGAAATGCGCTCCAATTACCATCCCCGATTGGGTGAAACGCGTCTGACGCTTTTTCCGATTGTGGTTGTGCTATGTAGCTGGTGAGATGCTCGGACGAATACATCAAAATAAAATTGTTTAACTATCCGTTCGTACTGCCTAAGATGACGAAAGCTCAAGTTTCTCGACCATTGGGAGCCGAATGGGTTGTTCTAATTACTAAGCTCTACATCTTCTCGGCCGGCTGAACTGTGTTGCCCTGATGCAGAAGCACTGCAGGCAAGCTTGCCCTTTACCTTACTTGTAATACGAACTTTCTTGTGGCGGATATCCGATGCACCTGAATTAAAGTGTCTATTATGAAAAGCTAGTCGAACTGATGTTGGTTAGGTTAAGTGAAACCTTGAGAGAAAAGATAACTACCGGAACTCACATATCCGCTGGCTTCAAGCCCAGCTTTTCGCAAAATATCTCCAACGTGATGGCACCCGTGTGCTCAGGATCGAAAAGTGTAAGCCATTGCTGAGAAGAGAATAGGGGCCATAAAATTTTCATCGGTGTCAATAAAAAATGCGTAAAGGAACTTTAACGATGAAAATTATCGCGCTAGCTGCAACAGGATCTCGGTCACCTGGAAATGATTAATGTTTATCAGCACCCCTTTGCGGGGTTCCAACCGAAATGTCCTACGTAGGTAAGAGAAATAAAAATCTTTGTGAAAAATATGAAGATACATTATCGCACGACCAAAGTAAACAACAAGGACAAATGATTTTCCCCCACGCAGAAGCAGTGTTTAGGCTTAACGACTCTAACAAACACCGAAAACCAACCACTTACATCCACCATTCCGACATCAAGGTTGTTTTCTTTGGCATATCTTTCTAACTCGCTACGAGTTATGCGACCACTGCGATCAGCATCTACCGCGACAAATACATCGACAAATGGATCCATTATGGAGATTTAGATTGAATGGTACTTGTGCAGCACCGAGAACATTTTATACCCGAGTCACACTCATATGAAGCCAAAGTAGATGGCGTTGTCGTACTGGAGCCGCACCTGTGTGATAATAATTATGTCTTGTGCCATTAGTTAATCGACAAACGATCGATTGAGCATGTTCTTGGTTGATCAGACCATGCGCAGAGGCCTAACGATGCTAGCGGTTGGTGCACCAAAATCTGCTAAACACCAACAGGAGGGTGGGGCATCCACACACCCGCTTTCTTGTGGCATCATTATGCGGTTGGTGCGACTAGCGATAAGAGTCGAAAACCAGGATTGCCACAGTATACATCAGCGTCTTGGCAAAAGTAACGAACCGCGATACCATTCGTGGACCAGCCCCGATGACCCGATGACTAATTAGGGTAAGCTAACGGGATAAAATGCCGCCAGATTTGCGCTTAGTACGCTTGTGTGCTTCTTTACTGTAACACACAATTTATATCTCAAAATAAACTTACAACTGACGCGGCAATGTGAAAACAACAGCAGAACAGTTTTCAGGGAAGTATGTTATTGGATGTTTAGTTGGAATCACGAATATGGCATGAAATTTACCACACACCTTTACGAATTGGCTGGCTCCATGCACGTTGGCATCAAACTGCCCGTTTCTCTTGTGCGAACAGATAAAAGTAGGGGCACATAATGCAACTCATACTGCCTTTCCACACAATTATGTTAGTGCATCGATTGGCACACATAAATAAAACACTATCTGTATAACAAGTCGAAAGGGAGTAAACACAATGAAACAATGAAATAATAGTGCATTACTGGTTATAAAGTGCATCTGAACAATACGATAGGAAGTCGAAAGCTGGTAGATGCATGCATTTCGTCTTGTCTCCTCAGTACCGTTAACAATAACCGATATACAACTATAAAATGATCTATAGGTGTGACCAAACAAGCTCGAGGTACAAAATGAATAACGGAAGTACCACCCCTATGTCCACGGTAGCCTTAAGCTCACAAATAATTTTTTTTTGAACACACAAGGGTGGCTTCGTCCGGCTTATTGCCACAGCCTCGGCGGAGCGGAGGAAGCGAGGATTAGAGTGACGAAACACCATTTTGAACGTTGATCCGAGCTGTATCCGGTGATACGTGAACGGGAGGTGTCTATCTATTGAAGAGACTGGCAGCTTGCGAGAACATGAAGACTCAGGTGGGGCAGATATGTTGGTCAATTTTACGTTGACTCCAGCTCCGCACGTGTTGCTTTATTAGTAAACTAAAAGACCGCTCAGTTCTGCCTATGTAACTGGATCTGCCGTCACACAAGGATTGGTATATGCATACATGTTGCTCTAATCCTCACTTCCACCGCTCCGTCGAGGCTTTGGCAATAAGCCGTATGAAGCCACCCTTGTGTGTTCAGAAATTATTATTTGCAAGCTTAAGGCCGTCGTGGACATAGCGGTGGTACTTCAGTCATTCATTTTACACCTCAAGCTTGTTTGGTCACATTCATAGTTAGTTATATAGTTGCATATCAGTTATTGCTAATGGAACTGCGGAGAATGCGAAATGTCTGCTTCTACCAGCTTTCGTCTTCTTACTGCATTGTGCAGATTCCTAACGCGAAATAATTACTTTACATAAAGTAAACGGTTAATAAGTGCGATGCGATGGCCAGCTTTGTAAACACAAAGTAGCAAAGGGGAGCTTAGTGAAAAATGAGAATCTCTTTGGTGGACAAACCATTGTGTTCACATCGAAACGTTCGTAAGGGAGTCTACCGCAACTGTGCATGGAGATGCTGTTTGGATCATGGTTTCATCGTTCCATTGTCTCGAAGTACTAGCGTTATGTTTCGCATTTTAGGCAAAGTATGGTAACGTCAAGGTTTTTAAACACTAAAATATATGAGCGGAAACAACTTGATTAGGGAAAGTGTTTCACGGCTAGTATAGGAAAAAATAATAACAGTTCCGACGACAATTAAGTCGGTCTTATTGCGTGAACAACCTGAACTGGCTGTCGCTATTTTACTAAGTTGCAGCAGATAGTGATATACGTAGTTTGGGTTCCTCAGAATATGTTAGGTCATTATTAGGTCGCCACGTAGGTACCCATACTGACCGCTGTATAACCTTAGGATTATCAGCCTAAGTTGATATGGAAGGTGGAACAACACTTTGAAGTGCTTGGTCGTTCTATGTTGTGAAATCTAGTGCGCTGCGTGATCATTCTTGTGCCAACACTGGATTGCTTATTTCACCTGAGTCCCCACGTAGATGTTGAGAATCTGCGGGCAGACAGGGTGAAAACTGTCGCGATGTCCTCTGCAACATCCAGACGTAGTGGTTTCCTGTTTGACGATTATTCTGCCCAATCCAAATAAGCCTGAATTAACTTCCCCGGGTCACACTACTGGGCGACTGCTTGCAGTACTTGGTCTCCAAGCTTGTATTTGAGGTTCGGCTGATGATGGATGTGGATCGACTCGCACAGGTGTAGCAAAAAGAATCCACAAGTAAGTGCAATCTTTGTTGAGAGCGACTATGGTTAACCAATCGGCCACGTACGCGCATATTTATCCGCCATGTTTCCGTCCCATAACAGCATAGTTGAGAACTGAATAGCTGTCACATTCCAGTTTGACCCCGTATCTTTGTTTTCGTAAAGCGAATTCCAATCAGCCTGGAGTTGTTCTGCTGCTGTTGATTTGCTTCATCGCAGTTGCTTTACGCTACTAGAAGTTAGTCCTGGTTGCACTGAAAAAGACGCTTCCATCTAACTTATTGGCTTTCTCGACAAAGACCTCTGTCCTCCTTAGCACAGGCGTACTGCCGCTCGTCGCTTGCGATTCGCACTCCGCTGGTTCTGTAAGGCTTGCGTTGCGTAGTCCGAACTCTTCCATAATGCCTAGGTCTGCTTCTGTCCCCGCTCGTTCTTGTGGCTTTGCAGTCTTCCGCGTGATCGTTTCCTCCCACATTACACCATTTGGACGGAGTACCCTCTAATAATTCAGTTATGGCGATACATACTCACGGCACATGTCTCGCTTAAAAGCATCGTCAGCTCCTTGACAGCCACATCGTAACATCATCAGCGAACAAAAGTAATCCAGCGCAATCAGACGTTTAATCTCGCTAATGAATAGGCGAAACAGATGCGGTCGCAGAACTGATTCTTGTGGAACTACACGTTCGGACAGCGCACTGCCAACTCTAACCAGCAGTTGCCGATTTTGCAGGAAATTCCTGATCCAGCCAAGAACAGTATCCCCAGTTCCATAGCTCTCGAGCCTGCAGAGCAGAATGTAATGGTCCAGTCGGTAGAAGGCTTTAGAGAAGGGTTATATGACATATATCCCTGCCCTGTTGTCGGCCGCTTCCGTCCAAACACCGTGTGCACTCAGTAAATGGATTGTGTGCGATCGGTGTTGACGGACACCGTGCTGCTCTGTTGCTATGATGTTGCAGCGTTATAGATGGCCAACAACCACAGATGGTTCCCTCTATCATTTATGAGAGTACAGGAAGGAGGACCACAGGACGATCGATTGCGAGTTCCAAGCGACTGTTAGCCTTAACTATTGACATGATTAGTCCATGTCTCCACATGGTAGGCACTATTTATTTATCCAAGCATGTTTAGAAAATATCTGATAATGGCTCCGTCAGCGCTGTTGTTGTAACGTACAGCGCCCTCGGATGAATACCATCGATACAAGGAGGATTGTATGTGCGCAATGAGACTGCTTCCTTAATGCAGTTTTAATGCTGAAAGTGAACTGCAGAAATTGGGGTGATGGATGAGAGTACGTAAGGCTGGTGGACATCTCATTGGAATGTCGAGGCGTACTCATGCGTAGGTTATTGGCTGCTTCGTCAACACTCTGTGCCACTCCGATTTTCGTGTTAATTGGGGGGGGGGTGTCGTGCTTCACTTTGGGAACACTTATCAACCTGCTCGATTAGTTATCCTCACGGATAAGCCCATTATAGTGGTTGCGCTTGGCCACCTAGTCGCCATGTAAGCGTACCAAGCTGCAATGTTTACTGAAGTGTGTTTTCACCTTTTGCTTCGGATGAACGACGATGGATTGGTGGGAGGAACCCACTTAGTTGTAAGGTAGTTGCGATCGAATTGCAGAAACGTCCAACAAACTGAATCTAGAGGTGATCAGGTGATCCATCCTTGAAGTATTCCTACTCGGCCTTCGCAACAAGATCGTTCAGGATGTTGTAAGTGGGATGACTGGCGTTGGTTCAGTGTGCTCCTCCAAGTATTCAGCGTAATACACGTGGTTGTAAAGTATGCTAACGGTATCACATAGTCCTGCTGGAGTGTCTAGTAATGACTTGATCATGAGTACCCATCTTTAATTGTGTGGTCCAGTTACAATGGTTTTTTACCAGCTCTGTTCCCGATGGGTGAGATCATGTGGTCTTATAAAGATACTTGGGATAATTAGTTTCAACTCGGTCTTGCATGTTTCGCTGGAGGATGTCGAGAGGTCAATTGCTTGTATGTTGAAATCACCTGAGATAAGAACGTAACTGTAACTTAGGAGTACGCCTTCTATCAAGGCCGATACTAGTTGGTAATCCATTTCCAGAGTAGACTTGGGGGGGATAAAGGATTGCCACGAAGCAGTTGCCATCTATCTGACACGCACACGGCACCATAGCGAATCGATATCACGCGTCTTCAGCTCATTTATTGGTTCGCATTGTAAGACGTTACTTTTGAAGAGAATTACGTCCCCTCCCCTGTTGAGACGACCGTTTCTGAATAGTGACATTCCCTGAATCGCTGTCTCGGCATCCGCAACCAAGTACTGATTATGAAAATTAGCTGTTAAGCGTTTGTTGTCTGACGCAGCCGGATCTTGGCATGCTTGCTGAGAAGGGCTTTGGCATTAACGTAAATGCAGGAAACATTTTCGTTCTCAGAAGTGAATCGAAAGAAATGTTGTTCAGATAGAAAATTGTGCCGACAATAATAACGCCGGCTGCTATCAGCTTTCGGTGGCATTTTGGTGAATGCTTAGGAGTTGGGTTTAATGGCATCGTAACTAGCCCTTCAAACAACTCATTACACA